CTAAAGCTTTTCTTAGTGCCATTATCCTTCACAGCAAAAAACAAAAACAAAAACAAATAATGTTCTCGAGGAACCCCAAATAGCTTTTATGCAAAGAACTCTGCCAGTGTTTTATCTTTAAAAGCACAGGTTTGTTATTTAAGATGAAAGGGTTGCCAGCTAAACACAGAAGAGATTCAGGACTCCAAGAAGTAATTAAGTAAAAATCTGGTTTTTTTTTTTTAAGTCTCTGTTACAGCCAGAGGGCAGCCAGAAAAAGAACTGCAGGTTTTGTATCCCGGTATTATCTAGGTTGCATCCTGTGTTCAAAACTGTACAATTTAACACCTTCTCTAATTAACATGCATCGTTTTAGCAGGTGAAATAATTGTGTTTTATCAGGCAATGAATCTGGGGAATGAGAGTCTCAGGCTGGAAAAAATGCACTTTTTGTGAATAGGATATATTCATATAATACATCCTGTACTGTTCCAATAGCTCTTCATTTCCTAGATTAATACTGGAAAATTATATGGAAAAACATGACAATAGTATGTTACATTTATTTTATATTGCTAATATCATAACCACAGAGAAATTCCATATGTGTTTCTTATTCTGCTTCTTTGTATTCCAGTATTGCATAGTGGGAACATGGTGGCGCTGTGGGTTAAACCGCAGAATCCTCTGTGCTGCAAGGTCGGAAGACCAGCAGTTGTAAGATCGAATCCACGTGACAGAGTGAGCCCCTGTCACTTGTCCCAGCTCTTGCCAACTTAGCAGTTCGAAAGCATGTAAAAATGCGAGTAGATAAATAGGTACCACCACGGTGGGAAGGTAACGGCATTCTGTCTCTAGTCCCGCTGGCCACGTGACCATGGAAACTGTCTATAGACAAACGCTGGAACCGTTGTTCCAGAGCAGGATACTTAATTAATTCTTGGCTTGGAGGTCCTCTCATGAGGATACCATGGTAGCACCCCTGCCTGCTACCCTGTCAGAGATGGTGCAACTACATTATGGCCCCTCCAAAGGAAATGGGCCAGGCCCATGTTGACTGAGAAGCAAAACTGATTTAGTCAGTGGAACGTACCTCTAAGTAATGTAATTTTAATGAGTCCAGAAGCTTGAGGGCCTGTGGCAAAGCCCGCCTGTCAACTTCTCCCAGCCTAGGCATGTAGAAAGTTACTTAGGACTGGACTCCCCTTATCTTGGTGCAACTTTGTGCTGGCTGAATGATTGTATCTCTGGGGTGGAGAAGGTTGGGTGTGGCATACTTAAGTTCTTCTTTCACTCTGCCACTTCTCCATTCCTTCCTTCCTTCCTTCCTTCCTTCCTTCCTTCCTTCCTTCCTTCCTTCCTTCCTTCCTTCCTATCTTGCAGTGTGTGTGCTAGTGGTATATTTTAATAGGCAGAGTGGTCTGGCTAACAGATTTCCCTGCTGAAATATTTCTGCCATTTGCCAGTACAGAAGGGTTCTGCCAGTGCAAGTGGATTTGAGCCAGCTTTAGAGACTTTGGTCTATTTCTAATCTGCTCCAGTCAGTATACCTTTGAGTGAGGACTCCACCCTATATCTGTATATCTGTTTAGTGTTATTGTTATTTACACAAAAGCATGGTTTTCCTATGTGATGGAATGACTGGATGAAGAATCCCTTTACTGCTCCCTGGAGCACATTTATAATTTAAACTGTTAGAAGTCTGCCAACAATATATATGTTTAATTATCAGTGATGTTCTGGTGTACTCAGAAATGTTTGATGGTAATGGTAATTATCTTATACTTATGTGAGTGTTGAAATGAATTATTGGGACAATTCAATATTTGACAATTTCTCAGCCTTTGTGATTGTCAGATTAAATTCTGAATGATCACAAACCGTATATATCATATAAAGACTGAATTGTAGTCATGGAAAACTAAGGTCTTGCCAAATAGTTTTTAGCTGGAAAAGTGAGAAAGCAGATTAATTTTCATAATGACAATTTAATTTTGTGGACATGAAAATGTAAAATTGATTATTTTTTTCACAGTATAGTTCCAAACACAAAACTGATTTTATTTCAGGTTTACGTTTATACATTGCTGTTATGGCCCCCTAAAGCAATAGAATATTCATTTTAATTTACCACTGAAATGCATGTAAACAAGTTTGTTATAAATAGAATGTCCCCATGAAATGTAATTAGCATTTAAAATATGCCACAGGAATGCCTAACAGTATAAGAAAGATTAGACTGAAAACTATCACACACATTTGAAAGAAAGTATACATGCATGTCATTTTACAATTGTGTTTTGGATCCTTGTTGGTGAGGAAGATTTTTTTTTCTTGTTGAAATTGACACAGTTAAGTTAAATTGGACATGGGTTAGTATGTGATAGTTAACATGCAATCAGCCCATGTTTTCTTTAAGATATAGCAGTTGCCTTTCCTACAATTTGTATTTGGACTGCAGCATTGAGGCTGGTGGAGGAAAAGAATGATACTTTTTATCTCCCAGATTGGTTCTCCTCTGGCTTCTCTTCCATTATTCTATTTGTGAAAGGAGTTTCTGCTCAATGTTCAGCAACCTATGTATTTCTCCCTCAACCTCTGACTCACAGACCACCGCATTCCTCAAAGCTTTTTAAATTTTGGCGAGAACATGAGGAATTCAAGGGGTAGGAAATTTATCTTCAACGCTCTATAAAAGCTCTTTTTTGGATCTAAAGTCTTACGTCCTGTTTAAAGCCTCCTCTGAGGAATCTGGCTGGTAGCTGAAAACAGGATTCTGAATTAGGTAACCTTTGATGTGACACTGCAGAACTCTTCAGATATTGGCCGAAATCTTGTTGCTTAGTGGCATAGACTAAACTAGAGTAGGCCCATTGAATCAGTGGGAATTTGGTGACGCCACTTCTCCAGAAGTCAAAGGGGCTATTCTAGTTGTGACCTGATACACTAAAGTAATAACTACAGTTGGCCCAATTGAATCTATGGAACTGATAGAGGAATTGACTCACCAAATCCCCACTGATTCAATGGGTCTACTCTAGTGTGAGTTAGTATACTAAGCAACAGAATTTCAGCCATTGTTACCTTCTTTTGTTTTTATCACTTGTTGGTTTGCTCAGCAAATGACAGTTCTGTGCTAATTATGATTTATTTAGAACCACCCCATGATGTATGTGGTGCCTGACGTGGAGCATACAACGGTACCTCCTCCTCTATACGGGAATGGACTGGATTGGCAGTTCAATCTTATTTCAGTATAGGTGGTGCACTAGCCCAGGGTCAGAAACTGTGGCCCTCCAGATATTTTTTGGAACTGTCATTGGTTCATGCTGGCGAGGGTTGTTTATTTATTCATTTGAAATAAATAGTGGGCCAAAAGCATTTAGGAGGGGATATTTGCGTTCCCCAGACTAGCACCTTCCACTATACGTAAGGGCAGCAGAGTAGATTGGGATGCAGGATAAGCTTTAAAGGAGGCCCAGTTCTGATAGAGAGATATGGCAGTGAGGTGGGAAAGTGTCTCAGAAAGAACCACTATGATTGTGTCCTGCAGCTGCCTCCTGAGGCATACATCTCATTCCAGCTAATGGTAGGACTGGTTCTGTTTTGTGCCAGATGCAATAGGCTTCAGCATTAGAATGGCATCAAGTGCTCTTAAGGCCATAGTCAGGACCCAATGTTATTTTTCCCCAATGTATTTTACACTTTGCTCTGTGGCTTTATGTCACATTTGTAATAGCATCCTATATGATGTTGACATTAGACAACTGATGGGTGTGTCCCATAAGAAGGTGAAAAGCAGAATCAGAACAATCTTTCTGTTTCCATTTCACTAGAATTATGTAAATGTATATAACTGAATTGCAAAATAATATTGGTTTAACCTGAAATTTTAAAACAAGCATTTCCATGCTCTGTAGAAAGAGGCTCTTGGCCTTTTGGCAACATGCAGCTACCTACCAGAATTTTAATTTTATAAGCTATGGTTGATTAAGCCCGGTGCTTATTCTACTAGACATTATATAATTGGGGAAAGAGATCATCTGCCTTTTATATATTTGCACTTCTCTTTCATTTGTGTGTCAGGCTTTCCTCAGTGCAAATACAAGACCAAAATTATTGTTGTTGTTGTTGCTGCTGTTGTGATGCTGATGGTGATGGCTTTAGTATGCTGGCAATTAAACAAAGAAAAATAAAAAGCACTATCATAATGTCTAAATGTATGCTATTCATACCAACACTAAAAGGATTTCCTGTTTACCTTAGAATCTAGAAACAGTTTTGTGTTATTGGGCAAGGTTCTGAGCAATGTGATTCCTTTGTTTCAATGCCTGAAATACGTAGTACTATTACAGAGCATGGCTCAGGTGTAGCCGTTTTGTGTATTCAGGTCTGTTCTTCAGATCAGATTTTTTTTTTCTGGCTGGAGAGCCAACATTTTGCTAACCATGCTTTACTTAGTATGAGCCCTTCTGTATGTTTTGGACTATACCAAGGGACTTGTGGCCCAACAGCACCTGGTAGGCATCTTGAGCAAGGCTAGTTTGGAGACCATCCCTTTCTTAAACTGAAGTACTGATTAGTTTTGAAAAGCAAGCCAATATACAGCAAGAAAGAAATATTCATAACTGCCCACATTTGTCTATTAGTATCCCAAGGGACAGGGAAAGTATTATTTAACGAAGACTGTACAATGAATTTTAGTTAGATGACTGTAAGTTAATATGTTATATTAAGAACATGCACAATTTTATAAGAAGCAGACTGCTGTACATTCTGCTGCACTTTCCTGTTAGTTTTGACCTATGTATATTAAGAAGGGTGAAATTAAATTAAAGAAGGTATATGCTGTTATGTTGTAGTAGTCTCCTTTTATATTATAATCTGTTACATTATCAGTTGACAACATTTGACATGTACACTGTAACATGTTCACAATATATTATGCTTTAAACTGAAAAATAATTTTTGATTGCCATTGTAATGGCTCTCTGTCTCTGCATTTTTTCCCTCTTGGAAAGGTATTCAGGAGTCTCCAGTACCAAATGGCCATTCCCTCCCGGGTAGAGACTTCCTTCGGAAACAAATGCGGGGAGATCTTTTTACCCAGCAACAGTTAGAAGTGTTGGATAGAGTCTTTGAACGACAACATTATTCTGACATCTTCACAACAACTGAACCCATAAAACCAGAACAGGTAATATTTAGAGCTGCAGCTTTCATTCTTAAGTGTTGCTTCCATACCTAATTCTGCTGTTTCTGTTTCACATTTGATATTTGACAGTTCTTGCAAAATTTGTACAGTAGTCTGATATTCTTTAAGTTTGATAAACTTAATTCTGTATATCATACTCAGTATTTGCTGTTCATTACTCAGTAATTAATACTGAGAATACATGTACATCTAAAACCCAAATGTGAAAACACGTACTTTCCCCCACAAAACGTAACAAGTTACAGTTTCATAAAAGAGGAACTAGTGTTGCCTAGAAAAGCACAGACAAATAAATCTCTCTCTCTCTCTCTTTCTCTCTCTCTCTCTCTCTCTCTCTCTCACACACACACACACAAATTAAAACACACACATGTATACAGGCAAAACATATGCCATAAAAATGCCTAGCCAGCCTAAAATGCAGTGGCAAAATACACAAACTGACAACGCACGCCACAAACATACAAGACCAAAATGAAAGGAAAAACAGACATACCATTTAAAACAACTTCCAGCATACACGAGCAGTGATTTCCTGAATAAAACTATCACACAAACTCTCAGAGAGTCTCTCTTTGCAAACAAGAAAACAAGCTCCTAGAATAGGATGCAAACCAGATATTGGCCACAAAAGGTTGTTTTTCTTGTTGACTCAGCTGGTTTGCTCAATTAGTCATGGTAAAAAAAAGTCTTGGCTTAATATTTCATGTGAACACAGCCAATGATGTGTAAAAATATGGATATGATGTTGTGGGTAAGAAGAGGCAAAGATAGATGAATGTTAGAAGCATAACAGAAGGATTTAAACAGCGAAGGAATTATTGAGAATTGAGATCTCACTTGGTGGTCATGCTGTAGATCAGAGGTCCCCAACCCTCGGTCCGCGGACCTGTGCCAGTACATGGCCTGAGCTGGACTGGGCTGCGGAGACAGACCTCCCGCCCCACCCCCTGCATGCACTCACCGCTGCACAGCTGAATAGTGCATGCATGTGAACTCCAGCATGCCTATACGAGCGCCATGCTGCCATTTCCACATGCGCACAACCACAGCACTGCCATTTGTGCATGTGCATGACCGTGCGTGTGCCCGCAGAAGCGCTGCACTGCGGTTTATGCATGCGCATGAGTGTACGCTCATTTGTGTGTGAGAGAGCATGTGCTTGCTTGCACATGCGCAGGAGCACGGGGGTGCCCCGCCTTTCCCAGCCGGTCCACGGGGTGAAAAAGGTTGGGGACCCGTGGTGTAGATGGACAGTACTAGATCTAATGCAAGAAGACGGCAAATTGCAGAAAGAGTGGTACAATCAAATGTTGATATCTGTTGTGTCACATACATCCTGTTAACCTGGAACATAAAGAATTAAAATAAAACTCTTGTTTAAAGATCTCAATATTAATTGATAACATGCTAATGTCACTGGAATGTATAAGTTTTTGAGGTCAAATTCTATGAATGACATGGAAATATGCTTCCCAGATGGAAACAATTAAATATGCAACAGCAAGAAAGGATTTTGGAACTTTATGGAACTTTTAGCTTAAGGAAAATTATAATTTTTTTACAAGTCGCAAATACCTGTGGTGGGAATAAAAATCAACAATAATTTCTTTTGAATGAATACTGAACTTAGTTCAGGATTCTACCTCGTGTCCATTACAGCATTAGATATTTAATGGTGATTACTGATACTAAAGCTGTATTAAGATGGACCAGAAACTAGGGTCAGACATGGTTTCCAAGTAAAGGAAATACTCTAGGTTCTTCTTGCCTCACAAGGAGGCAAAGGATTTTTGTGATCTTGCTTGGGTATACTTTCTAAGGGCCTCAGAAACAGCCAATTTCTCCTGGCCTACAGCCATTGCCCTGGCTAGGAGGACTTGGTTGTCCCAGGAATACTAGTAGATGTTTTTCAACAGAAGAATACTTAGAGGCTACAGTCTGTCAAAGGAGTCAACTGTTTAATGTCCATAACGTATTACAAGGAGCTGGGTTATTAATATATGCACTTCACTAAGAAGTCTTGCTCTCTACTGCATTCTAGTTTTGCAAAGGTGTGGCTTTATGGTTTACCTATCTTATACAGGAACCCCACACTTCATTTATGCTGGGAGTTGAGTGAGATATGTCACAATTAATGATTCCTTTGTATGCTTATGCTTAGCTTGCTGGATAGCTTAGTGGTGCTGGCTATCTGGGTGTGGAGGTAGAGGTTGGAAGTTGGATTCCCCACTATGCCTCCTCTGAGTAGAGCCTTGGAAAAGCTGCACAGTCCTAGGATGCCCCAAAAGAAGGGAATGGTAAACTAAACCACTTCTGAGTACACTGTACCTAGAAACCCTGAAAAGAGTTGCTGTAAGTCAGAATTGATTTGATGGCACACAATTCTTATTATGTATGCTTAACTCAGCCCTGGGGTGGGGATAGGAAAAACAACCACAACATTTTAAAATGGTGGCAAGACAGCAGATATGCCCCTTAGCATCCTAGGAAACATTGCCTGTATGAACTCAGCTTGACAAACACATACATCAAGCCAACACCCAACTACCTTTCAAGTCATGCGCCTCATTGGCACAATGGGCAGCAACCTCACTACGGCAAGTCTCCAGGCATCAATATATAACTCTTGTATGCCTTGCCATTAGAAATAGGCACTTACTGTGGTTCAGCATTTCAGTGCGTTTTGGCAAAGGTGTTGCATAGGCTCCAGAAGGCAGGAAAACCCATGGCATTGCTTCTGTGGCAGGAAGCATGGTGCAGAATCTGGGGCACCCGCACATCACCTGATCCACCAAACCACACCTGAACTGTTGAACCACGGTAAGTGCTCATCTCTACTTGCCACACTTTTGGAGCACCACACAGTGAAGTTTCTATATAGGTCCTTAGGCAAGAGGCCTGAAGGGAACTTCAGAAAATACGCATAGCCCTTGGATAAATCTTTAGGACCCATCTAGAGAGGAAATCACTTTTTTGCCTCTAGCCAAAGAAAAGAGCTAGGAAACACAAGAAAGGTAGTCACAATCAGACATATCTTTCAGGATTCGCTCTATTTGGAAGCACAGCATCATTTGCAAGTTTGATTGCTTAGACTTGAACTTTGAAATAATTTCTTGTCTTGGAGGGGAAAGGCTATAATAATAACAAATTAGCATTTCCCTCAATGTGTGATATAACTCTAAATAAACTAATTTTCTGTGGGATTTCGCAAGCATTAGTCTTACTTTGCCTTCTAATTGTTGTACAGCTTCATGGTTGAGAAAATACTTACAGTTCTCATTCTGACACTTATTGTCTATGATTGTGGAATGATGATGTCTAAATCCAGTTTCGGATAGATGATTTGATCCAGCAGGGATGAGCCATCAATGAAACCTGGTTTCTTCATGAAAATGCCCTTCTGAATTGGGTCTGCAATGGGTACCATTAGTGACCCTGTGCCATAGCCCTGAATACTGCCCAGTTTCTGCTGCAGCTCAGCTTATCTGCCACTTTGTGCAGAGGGAAGAAGTTAGTTGCACTCGAACAGCCTTCTCACTGGTGACTGTTAGGAGGATGAAAAAAAAGTCATCAACCTCTCTCAATTCCCAACAACCCTTCCTTGCAAGATTGCTGGTCCTCTTACACTACTGGTGGTGGGAGAAAAAGTGATTGTTTTAGAGATTGCTATGGGCTGGAATGGGATTTTTCCTCTCTCAGTTCCCAATGGATCTTGCCTGTTTCTGTTTCTCCCTGTTGTCCTCCCTGTGTTTGTTCCTTTGCATCTCAGTTCATACTATGTCTCATCATATACACAGAGCCAGGTTATATATGAACCTTAGCTAGGAATATAGCTCAGTGAGTTGGCTATCTGTTTACAAACCCAGAAGTTGGGAGTTTGGTTTCCCACTGTGTTTGTCCCAGGGGAAGAACCAGCCTGTGTAGACTTCAGCAAGCTATACAGTCCCAGAGCATCTCTGAAATAAGAGAATGGCAGAACACTTCTGAGTATATCTAGAAAACCCTAGGAAGGGTTGCCATAAATCATAGTCTACTTGATGGCACATAACAACAACAACAACAACAACAACAACAACAACAACAACAAAAAACATGCCTACTGGTTTCAGGGAGAGCAGTGCTGAGAATAAATGTTGCATCGAGTTAAACTTTGAGATAATAATAATAATAATAAAATAAAAATAACCCAGCAGTAGGAAAGGACAGGCATTTACGCTTTCAGGAACTTCCTTCCAGGTATTTTCTAACCATCTAGAATGCACCTGTTGACCACTTAACTTAACCAATTATCTCCCTTAAAAAAAGAGAGAGAGTGTAGACTAATGGCGGAGCCCATACAACCAATGGGCCCCTTCAGTGATTTGTGCAGCCCTCTGACTTCACAAATTCCTCATCCCCCCCCTCCATTTATTTTGGCCAGGAAAAAAGAATTACTGCTCCTGGAAGCCTCCAGAAATAGGGATTATCCTTTAAAAGCAGACCCAGCACCCCTTCCTTGTTTTACCACATCAGAAATAAACATAAAAGGCTTTTTGCAAAACTAACTTCCACTCACTTCTAGTTTCATCCTGGCCCCTGGCCCCATGAGCTTGCTCATCTTTGGCTAGCAAACTGGACTATTTTGAAGTAGTATTTTCAGAACTGTTAACCCTCGTCTGTCCAAACCACTAATCTTATAAGTATACGATACATCACTATGTAATATTGGACAACATTATATCTACAGTATTCTTTCATTTCTATCTCATGTCTTTCCTCTAAGGAGCTGAGGGTGGTAGGTATGATCCCGCTTCCTGCCATATCATCCTCATAAGAACATGCATGTAAGGTAGGTTGGGCTGAGAGGAAATGTCTGAACCAAACTCATCCAGTGAATCTCACAGTTGAGTGGGGATCTCAACCAGCTGGATTGACTGATAAGATTGACCTGCATCATGATTTAAATCAGGTTTCCAGTTAATACTGCTTCATGTATTTCC